AAAAAAGCCGGAAGTGGTGCTGTGGCTCAAGTGGTAGAGCGCTAACCTTGAGCTGAATTGCTGAGGGACAGTGCCCAGGCCCAGAGTTCAGGCCCCATGACCGGACCCCCCACAAAATATTTATTGAAGCTGGGCGCCAGTGGCTCACGCCTGTAATCCTAGCTACTGAGGATGGCAGTTCAAAGCCAGACTGGGCAGGAAAGTCCCCATGAGACTCTTATCTCCAATTAACCACTAGAAACCCAGAAGTGGCCTTGTGGCTCAAGAGCACTAACCTTGAGCTCCCAAGCCCAGAGTTCAAGTCCCACAACCCAAAAAAAACAAAAATCAAAAAACAAAATATTTAATGAAATGAACTCCAGGAAATGAAAACAAGAGGTCTTTTCTGGTTTGTTTTTTTCTTATCATTCCTTTTTGTACTGTTTATTCATTTACATGTCTTTGGGTGTGTATGGAGAGACAAAGGGTGAACAAATGCAGTATTGGTACTCATTGGACAGTATGTTGAAAATGAACTATACAATTTATAGGTGGGGATGGGAGGAGAAGAGAAAGAGCAAAGGAATGAGTGACATTACCCAAAAAGAAATGTGCTCTTTACCTGACTTATGTAATTTTAACCCCTCTGTACATCACCTTTATAATAACAATAAAAAGTTTTTTAAAAAGGCAAAACATAAAATTGTTAGTAGTAGTCATACAAGAAATGCAGAGCTGAGCAGCGATGGTTCATGCCTGTAATCCTAGCTACACAGGAGGCTGAGATCTGAGGACTGAGGTTCAAAGTCAGCCCAGACAGAAAGGCCAGGCCATGAGACTCTTATCTCCAATAAACCAATCAGAAAACCAGAAGTGGCACCATGGCTCAAGTGGTAGAGTTTTAGCCTTGAACTGAAAAGCTGCTGGACAGTGCCCAGGCCCAGAGTTCAAGACCTGTGACTGACAAGAAAGACAAAGAGAGAAAGAGACAGAGAGAGAAAGAGACAGAGAGACAGAGAGAGAGACAGAGAAAGGGAGGGAGGGAGGGAAGGAGGGACAGAGGGAGGAAGGAAGGAAGGAAGGAAGGAAGGAAGGAAGGAAGGAAGGAAGGAAGGAAGGAAGGAACGCAGGCAGACAGAAGTGACTCACCTATGTCTACTACTAGGGAAGTTGAGATTGGGAGGATCACCATTCAAGATCAGCCCAGGCAGAAAAGTTTGCAAGACTACTTCTCAATAAATAGCTGGCACAGTGGCATGTACATGTTATCCTAGCTTTGTAGAAGGATACTCCAGGGCAGCCCAGGCAGAAAGTTTACAAGATCTGCTTCCTAACCAACAGCTGTGCACACTGATTTAAACCTATCATCCTGTCCAGGATACCATCTCAACAAAAGAAGCTGAGTTAGCCAGGCACCATTGGCTCTCAACTATAATCCTAACTACTCAGAAAGCTGAGATCTGAGGATCACAGATACGCCAGTCCACGCAGAAACGTCTGTGAGACTCTTATCTCCAATTAATCACCAAAATGCCAGAAACGGAGCTGTAGCTCTAATGGCAGAGCATTAGTCTTGAGCATAAAAGCTTAGGACAGCACCCAGGACCTGAGTTCAAGACCAAGGAACAACACAAAAAAAGAAATAAAGGAAGAAAGAAATCTCTTTTGTATTTGAGCTGATCAAAATTTGCTATCAGCAGTCTTTTATTGCTATTTCCTGCATGGGGAGTAGGAAATGTTTCTCATACCAACTATTCATTCATTCATTCATATTCATTCATTCATTTATTTATTTATTGGTCTGTCGTGGGGCTTTGAACTCTGGGTCTGGGCGCTGTCCCTCAGCCCTTCAGCTCAAGGCTAGCTCTTTACCACTTGAGCCACATCACCACTTCTAGGAAATGTTTCTCTATTTCTCCATTTCTCCATACTTTAAATACTTGCTAAAACTAAGCTAGGGAGGAAAGGAAGATTTACTGTCCATTGAGTTATTGCTACTTCTTACTAATTTCTTTATAAGTAGTACTGCAAAGGTTAGAGGCATAAAATTCTGCCTTTGATCTTCCTCCCTCTTCAAATACCTTGACTTTAATTCACTAGAGGGAGTAAATGTTCTAAACATAGAAGGGAAAATCAATACTGAGAAACACAATTTCTGACTTTCATCAGGCATGAAGACTAATTCTTTTTTTCTCTCTCTCTGACAATATTAACTGTTGAACTAAGGACCTCATACTTGTTAAGCCGGTATTCTACCACTGAGCCATGGCTTTCTTGCACTGGTATTTTCAAGGTAGGGTCTTGTGGGTTTTTTTGTTTTGCTTTGTTTTTGGTGTGTGTGTGTGTGTGTGTGTGTGTGTGTGTGTGTATGTGTGTTGTTGTTGTTGTTTTTCCAGTCCTGGGGCTTGAACTCAGGGCCTCGTAACTGTCCCTGAACTTCTTTTGCTCAAGGCTAGCATTCTACCACTTGAGCCACAGTGCACTTTGGCTTTTTCTGTTTATGTGGTACTGAGGAATCAAACCCTTGGCTTCATACATGCTATGCAAGCCCTCCACCACCAAGCCATATTCCCAGCCCTTAGGGTCTTGATTTTAATGACTAGGTTAGTCAGAGCTTTGATCCAACTACTTGTGTTTCCCCTTGTCACTGGGGATGACAGGTACATGCTACTTCACCCAGCTGTAGCTGAAATACCAGGTGGCATATGCCAGATGTCTAGCCACTGATTGAGATAGAGGGTTGCAAACTTCTTGACCAGGGCTCGCCTCAAACCATACCCTTCAACTTCTACCTTCCAGGTAGCTACGATTATAGGTTAGAGCCACCATGCCCAGGAAGAGTAATTCTTTTTTTCAGTTGTATAGATTAGAATTTAGTGATTAAGACCTGGAGGCATAGTTCAAGTAGTTGAAGGAGCACTGAGTTAAACCCTAGTACCCAAACACACAGACACACAGACACACACACACACACACGTATCTTTCTGCTACTGCTCAAAAATAAAGGACTGGACTAGAGGCATGATTCAAGTGATACAATGCCCACCAGCAAGCAAGCACCAGGGCATAAATTCAATTCCCAGTATCACCAAAAAAAAAATCAAAAAACCCTTTATTCCCTTTGGTATACTTTCTTCTTTCAATACTCCACAGTAAACTTACTTGTCCTCAGCTTTGGTGAAGATGATCTTATCCTGAGGATTACTTGCCTTCAGCGAACATATTGGAAGTAGCTCAGGATACATGAAAACCTTGCTTGTGGCCAGTATCCAAGCTACTTGCTTTGGCAAACAGGGAAATTCACCAGCTGAAAGAGAAAATATCTCTGATAAATAGAATACTAGGACCAAAGATAGCTTTCCAAAGTTTGTGAATGCAGTTCGCATTCAGGTAGAACTGTCCTTATCTAATCTGACCTGTTCCCACTTACGTAACTTCCTCAAAATAGTTTCCAATCCTCCTCAACTTAACCTAGGCCTAAAAGTAGTACCAACCAATGTCAGTATAAGTTGATACTCCTATCCTTCCTGTGTGGAACATGTTAACATACTAATAACATAAACACTTAGACAGTACCTAGCAATACCTAGCATATAGTATATGCTTAAAAAATGTTTACCACTTTGCACTTTTAATTCCTTGAATAATAAGAGACTTTCAATAATGTTTTCTCTCTTCTAGGACAAGATTCTAACTTCTTTAATCTCCCTCACAAGTCTGGTATTCCAACTTTTTGTTGCTGTTGCTTTGTGTATTGTTGAATTCAGGGCTTCAAGCTTGATCAGCTGGTGCTCTACCACTTGAACCATGCTGGCTTTTTGCTGTTTATTTTGGAGCTAGAGACTTATACAATTAATTTATTATCTTTAAGTAGTTGTACAAAAGGTTTCAATTCAACATGTTAGTTTGAGCACAATACTTCTTGATCAGAATCATGCCTTGGAGATGGGGTCTTGTGGATTTTTCTGCTCAGGCTACTTGATCCTCCAGGTGTCAGCGTACTGAGTAGTTGAGATTACAGGCATGAGCCACAAGTGCTTGGCTTTTGTTTGTAGGCTAGCCTCAAACTCGGGGCCCTTGTGCCTCAGCCACCAAAGTGCTGGGATTACAAGCCTGTGTCATTTTATCTGATTCTTACTTACTTTTTATTAAATTCACCCATATTATTCCTAAGGTTGAGAACAAGAAAACCATGAAATTAATGGGACAGTACATCTGATTCTGTCCCCCTAAGCTTCTCAGTTTTAGGAGCCTACACCTTTCCAGAAACATGAATTACTCTATCCATACTTCTCTTTGTATTAATATTCTTTCTGTATGTCCAGAGGAAAAACACATGGCTGTAAATGTAAAAGTCATTACTACAGTTTGTATTAAATGAAGTTCTTATTACCAATACACAGCTACACTAATTAAAGAAGGTGGTAATCAGTCTGACCGAATACACTTAAATTTAACTATATTCAACTTGAAAGAAAAGCCCAAACACAAACCTAAATCCAAAATAAGCCACAACTGATTTACTATATTAGGAAATAAGTCAGAAGAAATATTTACCTTGAGGAAGAAAGGAAATATACATACATACACACACACATATATATATAAACACTAAGCCAATGAAAAATAGAAATTAAACTTACACTTAGTTATAAGGTTATATATTTGGCAAATGCGTAACATCTCTAACTTTGTGTCTAATT